TTTTTTTTTTTTTTTTTTTTTTTTTTTTTTTTTTTTCTAATTTAATGTTCTTCTGCCTTTGCAGCATCTCTCTTTTTTATCACATTTGATTGTTCTGGAAGATCTTTTCCACATTTGAAATATATGATTATTACCAGTTTATCAATATCATTGTTAGATTTGTTAACGTAAAAAAATTAATTTAAAAAAGTTTTCTTATTTTCTGTTTTGTCGAGACAGGGTCTCACACTGTTCCCCAGGCTGGAGTACAGTGGCACCATCAAATAGCTGGGGTCAAGCAATCCTCCTACTTCAGCCTCCCAAGTAGCTGGGAACACAGGCATGTCCCACCATACCCTACTAAAAAAAAAATTTTTTTTTTAATGTCTTGTAGGGATGGGGTCTCACTGCGTTGCCCATGCTACTGGCTGCTAGGCTTGAGCAATCCTCCCACCTTGGCCTCCCAAAGTACTGGGGTTGTAGGCATGAGCCACCACACCTAGTCCACATGTTTACCTTTTTAATATTGACTGGGAGCCTTCTTTAACTGAAAGATTTATTTCACAAAATAGATTAGATCTTCTGAACATTAATTTTCCTTCATCTTTAAGTAACTTTGGTATTAGAAATTACATATTAATTTAAAATATTGTATTGCCTTGTCCATAAGTGTCCTGTCTTTTAGAGGTATTCTCTACTTGTTAGCTATAGCTGTCCTTTGTACAACTACCATAGCATATGTATTTGTTTACCTGGGGTGCATATCATGCATGTTCTTTGTACCAAGTACTACTGAATATTAATGTTATAAATATTTAATATAAAGTTATTTAATATATTTAAAATATTTAATAGAGGGTTATATAATAATGTAACCTTAATATAAACATTAAGGTTACCTGTACATCAAAGTGCTGTATGTTACAGTGTTATAGCTGGGAAGACAAAACACATGCTAATTTGATCAGAATTAGATTAGGTGTATCTAATGAATGCTTCACAAGCTAAAACAACAGAATGATACAGCAAGTTGGTGCTGGGGAAAAAAAAAAGAACAGAATGATAAGAGTCTAAGTCTGGCCCTTTAGCCAAGTTTCATTCACATAAATGGAAAGAAATGCCTGATGTATTAAAGGAAGGAAAGGTTTCACTGCACAAGAATATGCCAAAATGAGATTCCTGCATTTGTTTCTGATTTAGAATTTCTTTTATCTGCTTTTAGGTTCTTGTCCACAGCATATGTTAATTTTTACATGTTCTTTTAGAGTAATGGCATTTTCAATTTAGGCCTCTTGTCTAAATTACTGTCAGGAAAATCTCAGGATTTTTGACTGGGTTACTTGTCTCTTGCTGTGTTATACCTTAGTGTATCCTGTGCTGGTGGGTTGTGTTATATCTTAGTGTATCCTGTGCCAGTGGGTCACAGAATAAAATTTTAAAGAACAAACAGTACACATAATTAGCAAGTAAGGATGTTTAAAAGAACATTTAATTTTCCAAAAGATATTTTTATAACAAGAGAAAGGGAGAGATAATAAAACATTTAAATGAGATTTGTGTTATGTAAAATTTATTACTTTCCTCTAGATTTTCATTTAGCTTTAGGCCATATGTGTCTGTCTGTTCGTGTCATACGTGTTTTGTCCTTCGCAACCCATATTACGCTTGGCTATATTAGTCACTTTTTCCCCCATCCTCCAAACTATAAGCTCATTGATATTAGGGCTCAGAGTGTCTTTTTTTCTCTAAAGATTCAGGTTTTACTCTGTTGCCCAGGCTGGAGTGCAGTGCTATAATCATGGTTCACCGCAGCGTGGAACTTCTGGGATCCTGGGCGCTCTCTCTCTCTCTCGCTAATTTTTTTAATTTTTATTTATTTTTTAGTAAAAACAGGATTTTGCCATGTTGGCCAGGCTGGTCTTGAACTCCTGACTTCAGGTGATCCACCCACCTCAACCTCCCAGAGTGCTGGGATTATAGGCAGGAGCCATCGCGCCTGGCCCTTTTGCTTCAACCTTGAGAGTAGCTAGGAACTGTAGGTCCACACCATCATGCCCAGCTAATTTAAAAAAATGTTTTTAAGAGACAGAGTCTCACTGTGAAGCCCGGGTGGGTTTTAAACTTCTGAGCTAAAGCAGTCTTTCTACTTTGGTGTCCCAAATTGCCACCACACCTGGCTGGGAAATATTAATATGTGAAATGAAAGAATTTTCAAATAAAGAGTGGTAGTTTTTTATTTATTCAGTTGTTTTGAGATAAGATCTCACTGTGCCACCCATGCTGGAGTACAGTGGCACAGTCGTACACTGTAGCCTCAAACTTCTGAGCTCAGGCATTTACCCTGCCTCAGCCCTGAAAATAGCTAGGAGTACAGGAATGTGCCACCACATCCAGCTAATTTTTTCTCATTTTTGATAGAGACACGGTTTGATTATGTCGTCCAGGCTGGTGTTGAATTCCTGACCACAAGTGATGCTCCAGCCTTGGCCTCCCAAAGTGCTGGAGTTCAGCTATATCACCATCCCTAGCCATCACTGAAGTCATAAACGTCCTCTAGGTGGTCTTGATTCTCTATCAGAGTCATGATCCAGATAATCCCCCATCCTTTTTAAAAAATGGCATTTAGGCTGGGCGAGGTGGCTGACACCTGTAATCGCAGCCAGTACTTTGGGAGGCCAAAGTGGGCAGATCACCTGAGGTCAGGAGTTCAAGGCTAGCCTGACCACCAAGGTGAAACCCTGTCTCTTTTAAAAATACAAAAATTAGCTGGGTGTGGTGGCGGGTGCCTATAATCCCAGCTACTCGGGAAGTTGAGACAGGAGAATCTTTTGGACCCAGGAGGCGGAGGTTGCCGTGGGCCAAGATTGCGCCATTGCACCCTGGATAAGAGCAAAACTCTGTCAAAAAAAAAAAGAAAAAAAAAAAAACTTGCTCACATTGTTTCACTTCCTCTATTTAGAGAAGAAGCTAGTTTATGAAACAACTAGTCCAAAGTGGAAAGATCGTAATTACAAGGGTTGGTTTTATAAGTAGTTGGGCCACTAAAATTTCTGAGTTGTACAGTTTAGTGTCTTTGGTTGGCAGACCAAAGCTGATCCACTCATAAATTCTTGTTTAGTGCTCTTCTTTGAGGTGAGACACATGTGGTACATTTATTGGCACCGTAATACTGGGTATATTATTTAACCTCATATTTTGGCTTGTGTTGTGAGGTTTTGGGGGTTAGCTAATGTTTAGGAAGCCCTGTGCTTCTGTGTGCTGAGTATCAATAAGCAGTGGATTCCCAACTGTTTTTCGTGAAATATCTGCATTTCACCAAATCACCTTATTCCAGTCTCAAAATACCCTGAAATTCCTGAAATACCTTCTTTTTTTTTTTTTTGAGACGGAGTTTCGCTCTTGTTACCCAGGCTGGAGTGCAATGGCGCGATCTCGGCTCACCACAACCTCCGCCTCCCGGGTTCAGGCAATTCTCCTGCCTCAGCCTCCTGAGTCGCTGGGATTATAGGCACACGCCACCATGCCCAGCTAATTTTTTGTATTTTTAGTAGAGACGGGGTTTCACCATGTTGACCAGGATGGTCTCGATCTCTTGACCTCGTGATCCACCCGCCTCGGCCTCCCACAGTGCTGGGATTACAGGCTTGAGCCACCGCGCCCGGCCCTGAAATACCTTCTTAAGTGAGCTCAGTAACACCTACTTTTCTGTGTCCTTTACAATTTTTTCACCACAGTCTCAGAAGCTTCAGAAACAGAACTAATCGGGTCACTCCTGCTTAAGATCTCCCATTAATTGTATTGAAGCTATTTAACATGTTTCCTTTAATTGATATTGGCCTTTGAGAATTTCCTGTATTTGCCTTATTTATTAGGTTTAAAATGTACGTTTGGATACGTTTTGCCTTGTGCATGTTCCCATGAAACTAACTCTGTATAATCAAGATTTCCCTCTCTCCAATTACTTTCACCTTCACTGTGCCACTCCGCATATGCTTGTTGTCACTCATTTGAGTGGGATCCCTGGATTATATGGTTTATTTTATTTACTTATTTATTTTAAGACAGAGTCACACTCTGTTGCCCAGGCTGGAGTGCAATGTTGCACTCTTGGCTCATTGCAACCTCCGGCTCTCGAGTTCAAGCAATTCTTTTTTTTTTTTTTTGAGACAGAGTTTCGCTTTTATCCAGGCTGGAGTGCAATGGCGCGATCTCGGCTCCCCACAACCTCTGTCTCCTGGGTTCAGGCAATTCTCCTGCCTCAGCCTCCTGAGTAGCTGGGATTACAGGCATGTGCCACCACGCCCAGCTAATTTTTTGTATTTTTAGTAGAGACGGGGTTTCACCATGTTGACCAGGATGGTCTCGATCTCTTGACCTCGTGATCCACCCACCTCGGTCTCCCAAAGTGCTGGGATTACAGGCTTGAGCCACCGCGCCCGGCCGAGTTCAAGCAATTCTTGTGCCTCTGCCTCCCGAGTAGCTGGGATTACAGGCATGTACCACCACACCTGCCTAATTTTTGTTTTTGTAATAGAAATGGAGTTTCACCATGTTGGCCTGGCTGATCTCAAACTCCCAACCTCAGGTGATCCGCCCACTTTGGCCTCCCAAAGTGCTGAGATGATAGGTGTGAGCAATTGCCCTGGGCCCATATGGATGTTTTGGTGTATGTTTAAGCATCCAGCTATCTTCCAAAGTGGTTGTATCAGTCTCACCAATATATTCAATATTCACATCTTGGCTGACACTTGATCTGCACAGTGCTTTTAATTTGGCTGTTGTAGTACATAGATTAGCACCTCATTGTGGTTTTAATTTCCATTTCCATGTGAAGTAGTGCTGTACTGCGTTCCATCACATATCCTTCCATGTTCTTTGCCATGGCAGTATGTTTTCCGGTGAAGCACCTGTTAAGAAATTTGCCCAGTTTTTCTTGGGCTATTTTTTTTTTTTTCTTTCCTTTTTTTTTTTTTTTTTTTTTTTTTTTGAGACAGAGTCTTGCTCTGTCACCAAGCACCAGGCTGGAGTGCAGTGGCACGATCTCGGCTCACTGTAACCTCCACCTCCCGGGCTCAAGCAGTTCTCCTGCCTCAGCCTCCCGAGTAGCTGGGATTACAGGTGCACGCCACCATGCCCAGTTTGTATTTTTAGTAGAGATGGGGTTTCACCATGTTGGTCAGGATGGTCTCAATCTCTTGACCTCGTGATCTGCCTGCCTTGGCCTCCCAAAGTGCTGGGATTACAGGCGTGAGCCCCCGTGCCTGGCTGGCCCATTTTCTTATTGAGATCTAAGGGCTCTTTGTAGTCTAGTCAGGAGTATTTTGTTAGCTGTATGATTTGCAAGTGTTTTCTGTCTGTGGGTTCCTTTTTAATTTTGTAATGGTGTCTTTTGAAGAGCAAAAATTTCAAATTTTGATTGAATTCAATGTTGATTTTTTTTTTTGTATAGTCGTGCTTTTTGTGTTGTATTCAAGAAATTTTTATCATGCAAAGGTAAATTAAAATATTCTGTAAGTTTTTGGCCTGGCACAGTGGCTCACACCTGTAATTCCAGCAATTTGGGAGGCAGAGGCAGGTGGATCACTTGAAGTCAGCAGTTCAAGACCAGCCTGGTCAACAGGATGAAAACTCATCTACTAAAGATAAAAAAAGCTAGCCACGTGTGGTGGCGAATTGCTTGAACTGGGGAGGTGGAGACTGTAGTAAGCTGAGATCATACCACTGCACTCCAGCCTGGGCGACAGAGCAAGACTGTCTCCAAAAAAAAAAGGTATTCTATAAGTTTTCTTACAGAGGCTTTGTAGTTTTAGCTCTTGTGTTGAGATCTGTGATTTGGCTGAGTGCAGTGGCTCACATGTATAATACCAACAATGGGAGGCCAAGTTCAGTGGGTCTCTTGACCAGCCATGGCAAAACCTGGTCTCTATAAACAAGACAGAAAAAATTAGGCAGGCATGGTGGAATGCCCCTGTAGTCCGGACTACGGGGAAGCTAAGGTGGAAGGAGTGCTTGAGTTCAGGAGCGGGAGAATGCAGCGAGCCAAGATCATGCCATTGCGCTCCAGCCTGGACGACAGAGACCCTGTCTGAAAAAAGCATTCTGTGATGCATTTTAATTTTTGTATATGATGTGAGATAAGGGTCAAGGTTTGTTTGTTTATTTATTTATTTTTTTTGAGGCAGAGTCTTGCTCTGTTGCCAGGATGGAGTGCAATGGCATGATCTAGGCTCACTGTAGCCTCTGACTCCTGGGTTCAAGTGATTCTTCTGCCTCAGCCTCCTGATTAGCTGGGACTACAGGTGCCTGCCACCATGCCCAGCTAATTTTTGTATGTTTAGTAGAGACAGCATGTCACCATATTGGCCAGGCTGATCTCGAACTCTTGACCCTGTGATCCATCTGTCTTGGCCTCCCAAAGAGCTGTGATTACAGACAGGGGCCACTGTACCCGGCCTATTTATTTGTTTTTAAGAGAAGATCTCATTTGGTCTCCGAGGCTGAGGTGCAATGATGTAATCACAGCTCACTGCAGCCTTGACCACCCAGTTTCAAACGATCCTTCTAACTCAGGCTCCCTAGTAGTTGGGACCGCAGATATGCACCCCTACACTCAGCTAATTTGTTAAAAATTTTTCATAGTGACAGGGTTTCACTGTTTTGCCAGGCTGGAGTGCAGTGTCACATTCATGGCTCAGTGCAGCCTAGAACTCCTGGGCCCAAGCTTTCTTCTCCCCTCAGTCTCCCAAGGTTTATTTTTGTACGTTATCTGATTGTTCCAGCAACGTTTATTGGAGAGATTATTTTTCTCCATCAGATTTCCTTGCAACTTGTTGAAAAACTTTGACCTAGGGGCCAGGTGTGTTGGCCCCTAAGTCAAATTCTGCTGCCTCAATCTCCCAGCTGCTTGGGAGATTGAGGCACGGAGAATTGCTTGAATCCGGGAGGCAGAGGTTTCATGAGCCGAAATTGCGCCATTGCACCCTATCCTGGGCAACAAGTCTGTCTCAAAAAAAAAAGAAAGAAAGAAAGAAAAAGAAAACAGTATTTTGTCTTTTTCACATTGTCTAAAAGTATATAGCATGTGTTTTCAAGATTCATATTTGTTATGGCATGTACTCAAATTTCATTCCCCTTTAAGCCGGATAATTCATTGTACCTGTATACATGTATACCACATTTTGTTTGTGTATTCATCTATTGATAGACATTGGGGGCTTTTCACTTTTTTCGTTTTTTTTTGTGATAGGGTCCCACTCTGTTGCAAGCTGGAGTGCAGTAGCAGGATTATGGTTTACTCGAGCCTCAACTTCCAGGGCTCAAGCAATCCTCCTGCCTCATCTCCTGCATAACTGGGACTACATGATAGTGCCATCATACCTGGCTCACTTTTTTATTTTTTGTAGAGGTAGGATCTCACTATGTTGCCTAGGCTGGTCTTGAACTCCTGGGCTCAAGTGATCGTTCTGCCTCAGCTATCTTTTAGATTTTTTTATCAGTCTGCCTCAGCCATCTTTTAGATTTTTTTATCAGTATGTTTGAGGCCATACACATTCATATGATAATGGTGAATGTTTGTATAGATCCATTTCTCTTAAGATTATCAAAGTAGGTTTAATTCTAGACTATCTAGGGGAGCCCTAAGTTGTTAACTCCCGCTTTAGAGTTATTGGAATTATTGTTAGCTATTTGTCTTCCATGGCATTGTTCTCAGAACTGTTAATATTTCATTGTGAGCACAGCAGTAACAATGTCCTGCATACCCTGTGTAAGTAAAGAGAACAGATCACTATACTTTATTGACCATCTTTCCAAAGATCAATTTTGGTGGTGGGTTTTTTTTTTTTTTTTTTTTTTTTTTTTTGAGACAGTCTCCCATTGTTGCCCAGGCTCCTGGAGTGCAGTGGTATGATCTTGGCTCACTGCAACCTCTTGCCTCCTGGATTGAAGTGATTCTCATACCTCAGCCTCCCGAGTAGCTGGGACTACAGGTGTGCACCACCACGCCTGGCTATTATTTTGTATTTCAGTAGAGACGGGTTTCACGATGTGGGCCAGGCTGGTCTCAAACTCCTGGCCTCAAGCGATCCACTCACCTCAGCCTCCCACAGTGCTAGGATTACAGATGTAAGCCACCACATCTGGCCAATTTTGATGTTTTGATGGGCTGATATTTGTAATAAACATTTCAATTATATATGGCATTGATGTAGAAATGTACCAGATTTACATTTTTTTAGCTTGTGTATTTTTTTTTTTTTTTTTTAAATAAAATTTTTTTTTCTTTTTTAGAAGAGACGAGGTTTCACCATGTTGGCCAGGCTGGTCTCAAACTCCTGACCTCAGGTGATCCACCCGCCTTAGCCTCCCAAAGTACTGGGATTACAGGTGTGAGTCACTGCGCCCAGCTAAACAAATGTTTAAACTAAGATTGGTTCAGAACTGGATTGAACTTTTTTTTTTTCTTTCTTTGTAATTTACATTTTTAATAGTGTGTTGAAAGCCTTAAACCATTTTCTGTGGTGCAGGTTGAGTGTCTCTTACTGGAAGTGCTTGGGATGAGAAGTGTTCCAGATTTTGGGCTTTTTCAGATTTTGGAATGTTTGCATTATGCTCATTGGTTAAGCATCCCAAATCTGAAATGCTCTAGTGAGCATTTCTTTTTAAGTGTCATGTTGGTGCTTTGGAACTTGCAGATTGTGGAGTATTTCAGATTTCAGATTTGGGGTACTTAAACGGTACATTAAAATTAGCTTCTGTGAAGAAGAGGAACTGGAAAATGTAACATGGACTCCCACATTCTAAGAA